CTGTATCCAGAAACTTTACTGAAGTCATTTATCAGGTCTAGAGGTATATTTAGGGTTTGAGAGGTATATCTAGGGTTTCCTTGGTTAAGTTACTCATGTAATTTGACTTCCCCTTTTCCTATTTGGATGCCTTTTATTTCTTTCTCTTGCCTGATTGCTCTGGCTATGACTTTCATCACTATGTTGAATAGAAATAGTGAGAGTGGACATTCTTGTCTAGGAACAAAGTTTTGATAGGACAAATATTGTATGATTCTACTTAAGTACTTAGTATAGACAAATTCATAGCGACAGAAGGCAGATTATAAATTAACAGGTGGTTAACCTCTGTTAAACTACTGAGAGGGGAGATGGGGAATTAGTGTTTAATGAGTTACAGAGTTCTGTTTAGGATGATGAAAAAGTTCTGGAAATAGTGACAAAGTTTAAACAACGTTGCAGACATAATGCCATTGAATTGTATACTTAAAATAGTTAAAATGGTAAATCTTGTATATATTTTATCAGTATACAAAAAAGGAACAAACTTTTGATATGTGCACCAACTTTGGGTTTTAAGGTAGAAAAACCCAATCTCAAAGGTTATATGCTGTCTAATTGCTTTTATATAACATTCTTGAAATGATGAAATTACAGTGATGGAAAAAAGAATACTGTTTGCCGGGAGTGGGGAGAAAAGTGGCTGTGATTTTAAGAGTGGCATGAGGGATCCTTCTCGTGGAACTGTTGACCAATTTGAACATGTGACAAAACTGTGTATAACTGAATAAACACAACTAAGTACATGTTAAACTGACAAAATCTGAATAGGGTAGGCCTTATCATGTCCATTTCTTGTACTACAGATATGCTGGTACACTGGGGATAATTCGTTGAATGATTTATAGTCTCTTTGTATATTACTCCTTATGATACATGTGAATCCAAAATTATCTCAAAATAAAAAGTTTTTTTTAAAAATGGTAAGAGAAGCATGTGCCTACTATATATTGTTTCACTGAATTTTCACTTCACTCTTTGAGGTAGTTATTTTTACCCAAAAGGTACAGATAAGGAGAGTAGGACTCAGAGCTTAAAGCATTTGCTCCGCTAGTTTGTTCCAATCTAACTCCTAAATTCACCTGAGGCGACTAGAATGGATGCGCCTCAGCTGGGCCTGGGCATAAACTGCTCCTCAGCCACCCATTAGCAGCTTTCAGCACAACCCTCAATGGGGAAGACTAGAGCTGCTCCCAGCTCTCTTCCCTGTCCAGACAAGTTATTTTAAACAACTTTGGTCTCAGGGCATTTGTTGTTTGATGCATCATTGAGTCTTTTCACACAGTATTTGTCAACAATTAAAAATAAATAGGATTATTTTTCCTCAGAACTCTCAGACTTTCATCTTCTTCTCCCTTCCTGATTCTTCTCTGTGCCTCTTCTTTTAGCAATATAGTATGCTGGCCGTGGTGGCTCACGCCTGTAATCCCAGCACTTTGGGAGGCCGAGGAGGGCAGATCACAAGGTCAGGAGATCAAGACCATCCTGGTTAACACAGTGAAACCCCATCTCTACTAAAAATACAAAAAATTAGCCAGGCGTGGTGACGGGCGCCTGTAGTCCCAGCTACTCGGGAGGTTGAGGCAGGAGAATGGCGTGAACCCGGGGGGCGGATCTTGCAGTGTGCGCAGATTGCACCACTACACTCCAGCCTGAGGGAAAGAAAAAAAAACACCAATATAGTAATACTTTAAATTACTAACTTACAACAACCAAAACTCATTTATACTTATATACATACTACCTCTTATGGGTCTGTTTTATTTTCAATCTTACTTGTGGAGGGATAGGTTTTGTTACATAAATGTAGGATCATCACTCAGCATGAGCAGATTCTTACTGCCTTTCTCCCTCTATTTCTATCCTCCTTACCATCACTACATAGATTGGCCATACTGTTTATACATGTTGTGCCTGCCCCTGTCGTTTTTTCATAGCTCCCACTTTCTCTTTCAGAAGTGTCCTGGTTTGAATGATAAAGTACACGATTATCCACCCCAAAAATCATTGATCTGCCTTCTTTCTTATCAAGAAAGAAAAAAAGATTAAGTAGAACTTAAGGTCTACTTTATAAATCTTTATGCCACATATCTTGTTTGGTTGACGTGCTTGGTTTTCAGAAGCAGAGATTGACTCAGATTACCTCAGGAAAAAGAGGATTTATTGTAATGATACAGTGGCACTTGAATTTCAACTACAGGCACCTCTATGGACCAAACTATACTCTCATCTTTCTCTCCCAAGTCACCTGGTCTTTCTCTCTACCTGCTTTTCGTGTGTATGTTTGCTCTGTTTTCTCACTATTGCCTACTTTTTTTACTTACTGATATTTTCTTATTCCTTTAAATTCAATATTTGTATCATAGTAATGCTTTTTGGCCTTTCTAAAGTCAGAGGTTCTTAACCTGGGATCCATGAATGCTTCCAGAATACCCCATACTCTAAAAATATATGTTTATACATGTGTGATTTTTCTTAGGAGAGGATCTATAGCTTTAAACAGTCTCCAAAAAGTCTAAGACATTAACTTTTCCTTTTCTGTCCTTATTGATAACTAGTATTGAATCTTTAAAGTTCAGTTCCCAAGAAAGAGGCTCTGGCCCAGCTCATCTTTTTCTACCAGGTTACCAATCATCTGCTACACTGTGGATTAACTACCCTTGTGTCAGATGCAATCTCCTGATCTAATTATTTCTGTTTGATGAGACATGCTGCCTATACAATAAAACTGATGAGTGTTGCTTAAAAAGATCCATGGGAGTCTGGGAAGAGTAAGTGGCATTACCGGTATGCTTTATTAAACAAATACTTATTTAATATATATCTCTGGGCAAGACCTCATGACTTGCTCTGTGAAATAAACAGAGAATTAAGAATCCTGGCCTCAAACAAATGGAAACAACCCTGATGTTCATCAGCTGATGAGTAGATAATGTTCCTAAAATAGAATATTATTTGGCAATAAAAAGGAATGAAGTATTAATACATACTGCTACATGGATGAACCTTGAAAACATTATGCTAAATGAAGGAAACCAGTCACAAAAGAGTGTGTCTTGTGTGATTCCATTTATACGAAATGTCCAAGTAAGCAAATAATTAGAGACAAAAAGTAATTTAATGGTTGCCTAGGACTGAGGGAGGTAGAAAGGATGTGGAGTGACTTATAACAGGCCTGGGGTTTCTTTTTGGTGGGATGAAAATATTCTAAACTGTGGTGATGGTTGCACAACTCTGTGAATATAGTAACAATTGAATTGTATGCTTTACATAGGTGAATTTTATGATGTGTGAATTATACTTAGTAAAGCTGTTAAGGGAAAATAATGCTGACCTCAAGAAATTTATAGTCTGGGCTGGGCGTGGTGGCTCACACCTGTAATCCCAGCAATTTGGGAAGCCTAGGTGGGCAGATCACGAGGTCAGGAGATGGAGACCATCCTGGCTAACACGGTGAAACCCCGTCTGTACTAAAAATATATATATAAAAAATTAGCCGGGTGTGGTGGCGGGCACCTGTAATCTCAGCTACTTGGGAGGCTGAGGCAGAAGAATGGTGTGAACCCCGGAGGCGAAGCTTGCAGTGAGCCGAGATCGCGCCACTGCACTCCAGCCTGGGTGACAGAGCAAGAGTCTGTCTCAAAAAAAAAAAAGAAAGAAAAAAAGGAAATTTATAGTCTGTAGGAGTATAAATGTACACAAATAATTATAAATTGAAAGTAGAAAATGGTTGTAAGTGCTATTTAAAAAATAAGAGTCTCTGCAGTGAGCCGAGATTGCCCCACAGCCTGGGCAACAGAGCAAGACTCCATCTCAAAAAAAAATAAGAGTCTATAACATGTTAATACGTTTTACGTATTGGTCGTGGGATTCAACTTTAATTCTCTGACGGAGATGAAATATTTATGGGAAAAAGATATTATCATATACAATTTCAATAGATGGGTTGGAGATCAGATATTTCATGAGAGAAGTGGAACTTGAATTAGAGCATGAAGCAATAACTGTTTTTTCATTTAAAAAAGGAAGGGCATTCCAGGACTAGAGAACATTGAAAATGGCAAAGCTGTCTGACACTTTATTGTTAGAAATAAAAGCCAGAAAATAAAGCAAGAAATTGAGCGTGACTAGAATATTATTCACTTTAATGTATTTAATGCTTGCAGTGTCCTCATATCCTGGATTTTTCATAACAGCTCCAATTCAGATACTCCTTTCTTCTCCCATAAGCACTAGATGTTGAAAAGCATCTTGCTGAGCCTGGGGAGGGCACATTTTAAATGTAGATCAAAAATAATTATACTTCTTCAATAGCTCATGTGAACTAGTAGACCAGTGAGGCCAACTTAAATTCCATACAACTACGTTATGATTGATGTCTGCCAATTTCCATGTTGTCATCTGAACATAATTAAATATATATTTTTGAGCTATTCAAATTTAATTCTATTTAAATTACAAAGTGAAGTTGGGGCATTATGAAGTATTTTAGGTTGGTGCAAAAAGTAACTGCAGTTTTTTGCCATACTACTACTTACTGTACCCTTCCCAGTAAAAGGGCACAACTAAAGCCTCCATATGTGCCTGATATTATAATCATAGCAAGCACTATTATTAAGAATGTATGTAGCTATTAATAAAAAAGAGTATGCAGTGTAAAGAGTTGATTATGCGACCTATTTTGCTAATTTGGGCTGCTTTGCTGGAGAACATTAAAATATCCTGGAATTTCAGTATGTCAGCATCTAAACTGTGTCTTCCAGACTGCATGAAACAAAGGCTTCGTGGCTGTGAAGAGAAAATATTTTGGATAGCATGGTATGCATTATTATAGATGTTTACTTTATAAAAGTAGCTTATAAACCTGTTGTTTTAACATTTATAAAAACAAGAATTTACCAGGTATCTTAAACAGTTAGATTCTGTGGTTTAATAATCACTTTTAAATTAATATGTTTCAGTTCTGGAGGTGGTTTTTGGCAAACCTGGCTTCTGGTGGAGCTGCTGGAGCAACATCCTTATGTGTAGTATATCCTCTAGATTTTGCCCGAACCCGATTAGGTGTTGATATTGGAAAAGGTATGAGATTTTTAGAAATACTAACTTTTCCCTTCTTTGCATTTGGAACCATGTGTTATTTATTATCATTAATTGTGCTATGATTGTGTTACCAGATAAAGTCTACAAACTTTTTTCTCAACCAAATGGTAGAGGCATAGGGCCTAAAGTATATTACTTGCTGCTTTTCCCTTAAAAAAGGGAAGGAGGGAAAGCCTGTTGTAACAAAAAAGTGAGTGTTAAAAACTGCTTATAACTTAGTCCCATTTTTCTTCCTAGAAAACCCTTCCTAGATTTTTTTCCATGCAGTTAGTCCTGTCTCAGCTATGGCTCCTTTCTAGGATAGATGCACAAATCTCATCCTAGGGAGTCCCTTTGCCTCTATCCTTACTTAAATATCACATCTTCCCTTCTTTGTTATTACACCCTTTTTTTTTTTTTTTGGAAGAGTATGTTATTGGTAACTTTTTGAGAAAGAGTGAAAAAAATAAAATAATCTCTTACATATCTAAAAAAATGTATTTGTCTTACCCTCTCAAAAAGGGTAAGACATATATAAAAGTCTGAGTTTAAAATTATTTTCCTTCACAATTATGAAAAATTACCCTGACTTCTAGTTTCTAATGTTGCTCTTAAGATACCAATTTCCTTACCCTGGATCCTTTAGTATATGTTTTTTCTTTTTAGTTTCTTTCTATCCCTGATGATCTTATATTTCACAGTAAAATATCTTTATGTGAGTCTTTTTGCAGTGTTTGAGTGTTTGCAGAGATCACACAACTGGCCCAGTTAAATGTGGAACCTTGTGTTCAGTTCTGTGGGTGGCAGCACAGTAAGTCATTTGGCTGCTCAGGGTGAGGTTGCGGATATTGAGCATCTCCCTGCTCCTTTGCTTTCATCCTGGAAGTAGTAGTTAGTTCCTCTGATTTCTAAGTCTTTCTGAGGTTATTGTGATCAAATGGCTTGCTTCCCAACAATATCTTCCTCTGTAAGAAAATAGGTTCAGCTTTTTCTGCTCTATTTGGTGAGTTACCACTCCTCCCTATTCTCTCCATCTGGCAAAATTTTGTGGATTTCGTTCTGTCATGTTCTCTTCTTGGACTATCTGGCTTTAAACCTGTTTTATTTCATTATTGTTAATGTAATAGAGTTTCTTCAGGGTACAGAGATTCATTCAACAAATATTGAGTGCCTTCTGGATTACAGGGTGCCTGCAGATACAGGGTGTGTGTGAGTGTGTATATGTATATATATGCACACATATTCACACCCCACCCCCTATATAAGACATAGAGCTCACGCCTCGTGTACCTAAGAGTCTAGTAGAGGATACAAGTAATAATAAATGAATAAATGACTAAAATATATTGTCACTTAATGTTAAATGCTAGGGAAAAAAGTTAGAAGAGAGTGATACCAATTTTCAATAAGTGATCAGAAAATGTCTCAGAAGGGGCGGCAGTTTGAGCAAAAATAAAAATGTGAGTTTCATCTATTTAACTGGAAGTTGAAATTTTATTTTTATTAATAAAGGTAAAATAACTCAATATTATCTTGCTTTAAGTCCCATAGTTTTATTTTCTCTTTCAAATCAGGAGGTTTTAGTTTATTTTTAGAAGATTACATTGTACATGTATAATAGTTTTAAAATATTGTCAAGGAATTCTTGGTCAAGGGAAAAGAAAAATAAAACCAGAAAATACTAGAAAAATATGACCCCTTCATGTGAAATGTTAACTATCTTAAACTATCCTTACAAGTTTTTAGCGTTATCTTTTTGCTTTTCAACAGTCCCAGAGTTTTTCATTTCTTTTTTTTTTTTTTTTTTTTTTTTTTTGAGACAGAGTCTCGTTCTGTCACCCAGGCTGGAGTACAGTGGCATGATCTCAGCTCACTACAGCCTCTGCCTCCCAGGTTCAAGCAGTTCTCCTGCCTTAGCCTCTGGGTAGGGATTACAGGCGCCCACCACCATACCCGGCTAATTTTTGTATTTTTAGTTGAGACAGGGTTTCACCATCTTGGCCAGGCTGGTCTTGAACTCCTGACCTCGTGATCCACCCACCCACCTCGGCCTCCCAAAGTGCTGGGATTACAGATGTGAGCCACAGTGCCCTGTTGAGTTTTTCATTTCTAAGTGTTTCTTTGTTTTGTTTTGTTTTAATAGAGACAGGGTCTTACTCTGTTGCCTAGGCTGGAATACAATCATAGCTCAGTGAAACCTCCAACTCCTAGTCTCAAGTGATCACCTAACAGCCTCCTGGCTAACATTTTTTATTTTTTGTAGTGGCAGGGTCTCACTATGTTGCCCAGGCTGGTCTTGAACTCCTGGCCTCAAGCAGTCCTTCTGCCTCGGCCTCCCAAAGTGCTGGAATTACAGGCATGAACCATCTCACCTGGCCCATTTCAAATTATTTTCTGAACTTCAATTAGTAACTTCTGGTAACTTTAATAAAATGCTTTAAGGCAGGTTGTTTGAAGTAAATTGTTTTCATGAGAGATTAATATTTTCCATAATTTCTTTTGAGATATTACTTGAAATCTTGATTATCTGTAAAAGAATGGGAGGATTTTGATTTGTGCCTTCTTTGTTAGATTTGTAAGTGGAAATTTCAGACCATTTAGATCTGTGAAGGTTTATTTTGATTAAAGTGTTTATTGGATATATAATGTTGCTAATAAATTTTAAATGGCTTTATTTTAGGTCCTGAAGAGCGACAATTCAAGGGTTTAGGTGACTGTATTATGAAAATAGCAAAATCAGATGGAATTGCTGGTTTATACCAAGGGTTTGGTGTTTCAGTACAGGGCATCATTGTGTACCGAGCCTCTTATTTTGGAGCTTATGACACAGTTAAGGTAATCTGGGGGCTTTAACTTGGACATATTACATATATGGTTTCCATTTATTTAATTAGTAATGTTTTCAGCAGATATGTTACTTTTAATTATAAAAATAAAAATCAGTGATGAAATAAGAGAGACATGAAATTCTGCTTAATCATGATTTTGCCATAACCTAATTAAATTATAACTGCAGTGTGGATCTGACTTTAGTTATAAAGCATGTATCTAAGTTTTTGAGATGTTTTCACTATACATCACATTGCAAATGAAAAACATGCTAATTAAGCTTACATCATAATCAAATCATTAGTATATGGAAAGACATCTTCTAGCAGTTTTTCTGATTTCATATTTACCCTATTATCACTTTTTATATGCAAATAATCAAATGTTGTCATTTTGAGAAGTAGGCAAAGCAAATTAATTAAATAAATGCTACTGTAGCTTGGTTATCTCCTGGATACTGTTAGATTCTGTGTTGTATTCTCCAGGTTGTTCTGCAATTTACCTTTTCATTTCAGATTTTAAGAACACTTCCATGTGGTAGGAAAAAGAAAAATTGTAATAATGGCTACCAATTTTTAGCTATTACTTAGTTCTAGGAATCTTTTTTAAGTACTTTACATCTTAAATCTCAGAACTCACCAGTAAAGAACTTACCCATGTAACCAAAACACTACCTGTTCCCCAAAAACCTATTGAAATAAAAAAAAAAAGAAAAGAAAGATATTTCTAGTTTAAAATAAATAATAAAAAAATAAAATCCCCCCTTTGTTTAAAGATAAATAGCCTAGGAATTGCTAAGTAAATAGCCTAGGAATGGTAAGTAATTTACTTGTTAAAGGCAAGCAAAAAAACCCATGTTCTTGATGCCTACATTATAATGCTTCCAAAAGGAAGTAATGAAATCTGGACAGATCAGTTTTTAGTGTATTTTTTAGACTGCTATGTTAATGAAAATTACAGGATCTCATACATTTATTTAAACACAAAAAATGTTATGTGCATACTCTGTCTCTAGTTTTCTTTGTTATCACCTGCAGTAGTGAAATTTAGGAACGTTTTTCCACTAGCTTAAAGTTTTAAAGCTGCTCGTCAAATATGTGTTGATGATTAAAGCAAGCATTTTTTTCACTTTTTTTCAACCCCACAAGGAAGAGCCATGGAAGAACTTCTTTCTTGTCAATGTCTGCTATCTTCCCTAGTTTTATGTGCATTAGTAACAAATTCTTATCATGGCAAATATGCTTTATATTTTTGAAATATACTTTTGAAATATAGTCATGTGTGGCAATCTACTTTTTGTTGATCTGCTGCTATTAAATCCAGCTTTTTTATTGCATTTTAAGTATAATTGGACCCTCTTTCATGTATTTATAAAAATTATCCTTTAACTTACGAATTTAAGATATTTTAGAAATTTGGATAGTTACTTGGTACATTTTTCTTTTCTAGGGTTTATTACCAAAGTCAAAGAAAACTCCATTTCTTGTCTCCTTTTTCATTGCTCAAGTTGTGACTACATGCTCTGGAATACTTTCTTATCCCTTTGACACAGTTAGAAGACGTATGATGATGCAGGTATTTTATGTTATTGTTTCTAAGCTTAGTTGAGTTTTTAATATCTCTGATATTTGGGTATAGTCAAATTTAAGAGAAATTTTGGCTGAAAGGCATAGATCATTTGTTTTACTTAGCTAAAATAAATACATGATGTATTCTGTCTTATATTCTTTCCTATCCTAAAATAACCATCAGCCAGCAAAGCTTCTTCCTCACCTACCATCAAAACAGAAATGCCTACTATTCCTGTAGCATATATTGCTTGGAAGGTAGAGGGTTATGGCAGCAATTGGATGAGTATGTCTATCTTTTTTTTTTTTTTTTTTTTTTTTTTGAGACGGAGTCTGGCTCTGTCGCCCAGGCTGGAGTGCAGTGGCCGGATCTCAGCTCACTGCAAGCTCCGCCTCCCGGGTTTACGCCATTCTCCTGCCTCAGCCTCCCGAGTAGCTGGGACTACAGGCGCCCGCCACCTCGCCCGGCTAGTTTTTTGTGTTTTTTAGTAGAGACGGGGTTTCACCGTGTTAGCCAGGATGGTCTTGATCTCCTGACCTAGTAATCCGCCCGTCTCGTCCTCCCAAAATGCTGGGATTACAGGCTTGAGCCACTGCGCCCAGCCGAGTATGTCTATCTTAACTGAAATATTATATTAAGTAGAATGAGCCCAGTCATGAGCCATTGAAATATTTCATTGTTTATTGTAATATATTTTTAAGAAAGTAAATAATTTTGACTCCAAGGACAAAAACTTGTTTGTAATGGTTTATGTTCTAAATATAAATCCCTAAACCAAATTTTTGATGAATTTGATCTCTATTGTTATTACCAGTTGACCATCCCAAATCTGAAAATCCTAAATCCAGAACACCCCAAAAATCAAAATGTTTTGAGCACCAACATGATGCTCAAGGGAAATGCCCATTGGAGCTTTTCGGATTTCAGATGCTCAGCTGGTAAGTATACAAAGCAAATATTTCAAAATCTGAAAAAATTCAAAAAACTTCTAGTTCCAAGCATTTCAAATAAGGAATACCAACCTGTACTTATTGCATTCATTCATTCAGCAAATATTTGCATGCTTTATCTATGCTACGCTCTGGTGAAAGAAAAAGACAAAATCTGCACCCAAATTCATAGTCTAATATTGAAGACAACAGTTAATGGTTTAAATACAAATGTGTGTAGGTTCCAGGAATACATAGAGGAGGGTTGCCCAGACGCTTAAAATGATCAGACGTGGTCTCTTAGAGAGCTAAATCTCAGTGAGTAGGCTTACTTCAGTCAGTGAGAGAACATTCTAAGCATGGGGGAAAATCGTACACAGAAATATGGCTTGAGAAGTAGTTCAGTATAGCCAGGTCATAAGTTTTATGAGGGCAAGTGAAAATAATGAGGTCAGAAAACTAGAATAGTAATATTGTGCTTATTATATGCTTTATACTGTCCTGAGAATTCTATACTTTTACTCATTAAATTCTCAAAACACTGAGGTGTAGTTACTATCATTATCCTCATTTTTATTGACTACAGAATGGTCCTGGAAGGACAAGTAAGCAATCTGGCAGGATAAAACTAACCTGTTACTTCATTTCAGGATAATACTTAGTTATTCCATTTATGTCTGTGTTTCTTCTCTTTCTATAGTTAGTTCTAATTTAGCACATTGAGAAACTTTTTAAAATGGAAAATTAATATGCATGTAGACTATAGATTGGGTCAATGGTATTAAATTTCCTGAATTTGATAACTGTACTTTGGATATGTAAGAAAATATCCTAATACTTAGAAAATACGCACTCGAGCCTAATATTTAGAAAATATGCACTCACGCCTGTAATCCCAACACTTTGGGAGGCTGAGGCGGGCAGATCATGAGGTCAGGAGATTGAGACCATCCTGGCTAACATAGTGAAACCCCGTCTTCTATTAAAAATGCAAAAAATTAGCTGGGCGTGGTGGCAGGTGCCTGTAGTCCCAGCTACTCTGGAGGCTGAGGCAGGAGAATGGTGTGAACCAGGAGGTAGAGCTTGTAGTGAGCTGAGATGGCACCACTGCACTCCAGGCTGGGCAACAGAGCGAGACTGTGTCTCAAAAAAAAAAAAAAAAAAGAAAATATGCACTTGAGTGTTTAAGGATAAAGGGCATGATGTCTGCAACCTAATCTCTCAATAGTACAGGGAAAAGAAAGTGGGAATATGATGTCTTATATGTGTGTGTGTGTGTATTAGTTTGCTAGGGCTGGTATCATCCACAAAAGTGGTTTGCTTAAACAACAAATTTATTTTCTCACAGTTCTGAAGGCTACAAGTCTGAGATCAACATGTCAGCAGACTTGGTTTCCTCTGAAGACCTCTCTCGTCTTATAAATGGCTATCTTCTTCCTGTGTTTTCACAGGGTTCTTCCTCCTCTGTTCCTCCGTTTTTTTCTTTTTTTTTTTTTTTTTTTTTTGGAGATGGAGTCTCACTCTGTCGCCGAGTCTGGAGTGCAGTGGTGCAATCTTGGCTCACTGGCGGCCAGTCCACCCGCCTCGGCCTCCCAAAGTGCTAGGATTACAGGCCTGAACCACCGCGTCTGGCCTGTTCCCCTTTTTATAAGGACAGTCATATTGGCTTAGGGTTCACTCGTGTGATCTCATTTAATTCTAATTACCTTTAAAGACCCTATCTCCAAATACAGTCACATTCTGAGGTACTGGGGGTTATTAGGACTTCAATATATGATTTTAACAGTTCAGCCTATAACAGTACTACTTAATTTTTATATTTTCATTTTATATCCCACAACTTTGTTAACCGTAATACAAACACGAGTGTGTATGTACATACCTTCCAAGTTTTTATTTATACGAACAGGCATATAATCTGCAACTAATATCAGGGTTTTCTTCCTTCCTTATCAATTCTTACACCTTTTATTTCTCTTTCTTGCCTTTCTGTACTCACTGAGACCCTGGATTCAGTGTTATATTTACAAAGTAGTAACTGGCAACCTTATCTTGTTCCTAATCATACAGAAAATGACTTCAGTGTTACATAATTTAATATTAACTGTGGGGGGTTTTGGTTATTATCCTTTATCATGTAATGACAGTTCCTTTCTGTTCCTGAATTACAACAGTTTTTAATTACGAATGGCGGTCATATTCTTTTTATATCTGCTGAGATGATTAAACCTTTTTTTCTTTTAATATGTTTACAGATTGTGTTAAATTAATCTGTTTTCTAGAGCTAAATCTTGTATGCCTGGGATAAACCCAGTTTGTAAGTATTGTATTCTGTAGCCCTTGCTAGATTTGATTGCTGGGTTTTGTTCAGGATTTTTGCATTCATGTTTCAATGACACTGGCTTGTATTTTTCCTTCTTGTATTGCTCTAGTTTGACTTCGGTAGCAAGGCTGTGCGAGCCTCATAAAATATGTTGAGGAGTCATCCCACTTTTTCTCTTCTCTAGAATAATTCCTGTAAAATTGGAATTAAATGTTCATTGAATGTTTAGCAGAACTTACATGTAAAGCCATTTGGACATGTGGTTTTTCTTTATGAGAAGATTTTCAACAACTGATTGAATTTTTAACAACTGTAGTATTCCAGTTCTTTTGTACTCTGTTGGTAAATTATACTTTTCTAGGAATTCATCCATTTCTTATGACTTAAAAATAATTATCATGAAGTTTTTATAATATCATCTTGCTCTTAAATTTCTGGATCATCTGCATTTTTGTTACTGTTGCCATTTCTGATAATCTTGGGGCATTTTCTCCTCAAACAATATTTCCAAACTTTGTCAGCAAAGTATTTCAAAGACCTAACTTTGGACTTTTTTTGTGTTGTTGTGTGTGTTTTCCTTTTTTTTTTTTTTTTTTTTAGACGGAGTCTTGCTCTGTCACCCAGGCTGGAGTGCAGTGGCCGGATCTCAGCTCACTGCAAGCTCCGCATCCCGGGTTCACGCCATTCTCCTGCCTCAGCCTCCTGAGTAGCTGGGACTGCAGGCGCCCGCCACCTCGCCCGGCTAATTTTTTGTGTTTTTTAGTAGAGACGGGGTTTCACCGTGTTAGCCAGGATGGTCTCGATCTCCTGACCTCGTGATCTGCCCGTCTCGGCCTCCCAAAGTGCTGGGATTACAGGCTTGAGCCACCGTGCCCGGCCAAGTTGTGTGTGTTTTCTATTTCCTTTATTTCTGCCAGTTATTTTCTTGTTTTTACTTTCTTTAGCTTTATACTTTGTCTAAAAATGTTTAGGTTGCTCATTAACTTTCAGCCTTTTCTGATATTTCAAGGTCATTAATTTCCTTATAAATTACCACTCAAGCTGCATCTTTAAAATTTAGGTAAGGAGTTTTGCAGTTATCATTTGGTTTTCATTGTTTTCTAAGAATAAATGTTTTTCTTAACATCCCAACGTATGATTTCTTTTTTTTTTTTTTTTTTTTTTTTTTGAGACAGGGTCTTACCCTGTCGCCCAGGCCAGAGTGCAATGATGTGATCATGGCTCACTGCAACTTTGACTTCCCAGGCTCAGGTGATCCTCCCACTTCAGCCTCCCGGGTAGCTGGGACCACAGGCATGTGCCAGCACACCCAGCTAATTTTTTGTATTTTTTGTTGAGATGGCATTTTGCCCCCATATTGCCCAGGGTGGTCTCAAACGCTTGGGCTCAAGCGATCTTCCTGCCTCGGCCTCCCAAAGTGCTGAGATTACAGGTATGAGCCACCGTGCCTAACCCATATGGCATTTTTCTATTTTGCTATTGATTTCTCAGTTGATTGCAGTGTAGTGAGAGGATAAATCGTGGTCTATGTGATGACATCCTTTGACATTTGTTACACCTAATGTATGGTCAGTTTTCAAGTGTGCCTGAAAAGTATGAATGTTCTCTAACCACTAGGGACAGTAGTCATATATGCCTATTAACACAGTGCTACTCAACACAGTATTTATCTTATCTATCCTTAGTGCTAATAGAAGATTATCTTAAGATAAAAGATATTCAGATAATAGAAAACCCTTTGTCTTTCTTTATATAGAGTGGTGAGGCTAAACGGCAATATAAAGGAACCTTAGACTGCTTTGTGAAGATATACCAACATGAGGGAATCAATTCCTTTTTTCGTGGCGCTTTCTCCAATGTTCTTCGTGGTACAGGGGGTGCTTTGGTGTTGGTATTATATGATAAAATTAAAGAATTCTTTCATATCGATATTGGTGGTAGGTAATTGGGAGAGTAAATTAAGAAATACATGGATTTAACTTGTTTAACATACAAATTACATAGCTGCCATTTGAATACATTTTGATAGTGTGTTGTTATTGTCTGTATTTTGTTAAAGTGTTAGTTCTGCAATAAAGCATATATTTTTTCAAGGATTTAAATACTAAAAATCAGATAAATGTGGATTTTCTTCCCACTTAGACTCAAACACATTTTAGTGTGATATTTCATTTATTATAGGTAGTATATTTTGTTAGTTTAAAATTCTTTTTATGATTAAAAATTAAAACGTATAATGCTGAAATCTAAGAAATGAAAGTATCTTCTTTTAAATTGCTATTCATTTAGTATACCTGTTTTCCCATCTTTTAAAGTCATATGGTATGACATATTTCTTAAAAGCTTATCAATAGATGTCGTCATATCTCTAGGCACAAATAAGCTTTGTTCTATCTCTCTTCTAAGACAGCTGTTATTACTGTGTACAATATTTATAGTATCAGCCTTTGATTATAGATGTGATCATTTAAAATTTGATAATGACTTTAGTGACATTATAAAACTGAAACTGGAAAATAAAAATGGCTTATCTGCTAATGTTTATCTTTAAAATAAATAAAATCTTGCTAGTGTGAATATATCTTAGAACAAAAAATATCCTCTTGAAAATTAGTTTGTATATTTTGTTGGCAATAAAGGAAGTTTAAAACTGTTAAAATCTTTTTTTCCCTGACTCTGACTTTATTAGTAAGCAGAGGATAGCAAAATTTTTGTCAGAACTGGCTTAACTAAAGAGAAAGATATTTCTCAATGGATAGATATAAACAGCATTCCAAGGTTTTGTACGGGAGTTTGTCTCGTTTTTCAGAGCTGTTGTAGAATACAGTGTGTTTGAAATCCCCAAGTTTTTTATGTTCTAATGAGTAAAGGGATGTTAAGCTAGTGGGGATAAACTATAGACAGATTTTGTGAGGCTGTGAATGGGCAAAATGGGGTGGGTGAAATTCATCGTGTACAGGGACAGTGTATTTCAAGGACAATAATACAGACCACACTTTTAAATATATTGGTGTTATCACTTAAGAAGAAAAACATCAAACTCTAAACATCATTTCTTGCAGTGGTCAACATAACGGAGTTATAGGAACAAAATAGAAAATAGTTTCCTTTCCTTCTACACTATCAAATGGTTCAAAGAAAGATGGTTAAAATAACCAAATATGAGGAATAGTTTCCCATATAAAGAGTAAGATAATATAAAAGTTTTCAATTTGTACAGAGGCATGCATAGAGGAAAAAAGGCTCGAAACCCTGAATTGGCATGGATAGAGGGCAAAGAGGAATTTAATCGCTCAATTGCTAGACAAATTGCTATTCTTTGCAGCCTAAAAGATGTATAGTTAGAACAAAAAGTAAAAATAATTAGTTAGTAGCCTGGACAGAGCTAAAACTGTATAAACTACATTAAACTGTTATTAATGAGAGATAGTTTATAATGAGCAAAATCATAACGTGATTATATAAGGAAATTATTTTTTAAAATCAACATTGGAAAATGAATAAAAATATATTTAAAATATGTACAATTTTTATCATAAATGACTAGTGCTGCATCTTTTTTTTTTCTGTGGAAGAGAGCTGGAGTACTGCATCTTTTACAGTGTCTTATTAGATAGGATTTTTAATTTCCTGCCCTAAAACTATCTCCCCAAATAATACCTAAAATTCCATACTCAGAGCTTCATTCTCTTAATTTATTAAAATACACCCTCCATAAAACAAGATGACCTTTTAAGTTGATAGTCATTTATACTTACTGAAACTACATTTATTTTGATGAATTTTACATTGTTTTCTCATTATGCTAGAGAAAGTGGAGGGGGGAATGAAAATAACACATTGTCTGGGTAGTAAGAGGCCAAAAGCCCCTGAAGAGATTTTTGCTATTTTATATTCCTACTCTAGATTCATGCTTTCTAGTAAAACTTAGAACTTTGGTACCCTCACCTTAAATTTTCTGAAACAGTTCCTTTGTTCATATATAAACATTATGCTACACAAGTAAGAAATTGATACCTTAATTCCTCATTAGCTGATAGATCGAAATGTAGATTCAGAAGGGCTCCTTTTCTTCCACCACTTCTTAAATGTTAGTATTCTCCAGGGGCCAGTCCTTTGCTCTTTTCTCACTTTATATATGGTAGATTGTGCTGACACAGATGCCCCTCCCCCACCAAGAACATGCTGGATAAAATATATCCAAAAAGATTTGGTTTTGTTTTGTATTGTTTTAAATAGGGAAATAGCATATCAAGAGATGTCAGAAATAAGATACTCAAGGACAGGAGGGTAACTGGGAGCTAACATTGTAGCAGCCCACAGATTTCAGAAACAAATAAGACACTAAGGGTGATTTTGACACCCACATGTGTAGATAGGAGTTAAGGAATTGGGGACCTGGTAGAGTAGGCGGTTGAAACTGAAACATACCATGCCTACCAACCACACAAACTGTCCAATGAAGCTACAAACTTGGGTCCAGGCACGGGATGCGAGGCAGGCGGCTGGTTTGAGGCCAGGAATTCAAGACCAGCCTGGGCAACATACCAAGACCCCTGTCTCTGAAAAATATATATATATAAAAAATATGTATATGTGTGTGTGTGTGTATATATATATAAGCCAAGTATGCTGGCACATGCCTGTAGTCCCAGCTACTCAGGAGAGTAAGGTGGGAGGATCACTTAAGCCCAGGGGGCTGATGCTGCAGTGAGCCAAGATCATGCCACTGATCTACAGCTTTGGCCACAGAGCAAGACTGTTGAAAGAAAAAAAAGCTACAATCTTAAAAAGTGTTTTATTTAAGAAGAGACGCTAGAAAAATAGGCAACAAATCATAGTGGAAAAGAATTGCCAACTACCCCAACAGTGAATAGGGAAAGAAGAACCCACCTGTGATGTCTCTGGTTTGGGGGTTAACAATTTTAAAAATTAAAAAGCCACCTGTGAGAAATCAAAACCCCACAAGCTTGTGCCACAACCAAGTATGGAACACATATGTATATTTAAACTATCTATATACTACAGGAACTCCAAGCCAAACCATTAAAACTGTTATAGGACCAGTGAAGCCCTCGGGGCATTGGCAAAAACAAATGCAAAACCTCTCTGAAACACTTCTACAACGTAGGCCACGAAAAATCCTACAGGAAAACTAGCCTTCAATGAAGATGAACTGATGAGTCATCTGAGAAAGCACTGTGTGGCAAAGGTGGTAGACATGACAAACAGAATTAGCACCCCAAGAACTAAAAATGTGATGAAACACTCTAAAAGAAACTATAAAATTAGAATGTTTAAAATGATTAATAGAGTTTTTAAATAATTAGATTTATTTTTTAATAAAAATAGTACAGTATGAAAGGACAGGCAAGTTTGAAAAAACATCTAGAAATTGTAAGTACAGTGTTTGAAATTAAAAACATGACAAAGGAGAGTCTAAAGGTCATAGTGGTTTGAATACGTTTTACATATTCTAATAAGAGATCCAGAAGAAACTGAAAAAGGGTATGAGAGACAACAAAAGAATAATGCCTGATACTTTTCCAGAATCTCAAGAACCCATTTGTCTTCAGGTTAACAAAAAACTCTGAGTGAATAAATAAAAAATCTACAATTAAAGACATAATAAAATTGCAAAATGTCAAAGAAAAGACAAATTGATTATTTAAAAAGGAACATTATACTCAATAATGGATGACAAAAGATTGGAAAATACTGTCAAAATTTCTAGTCAGCTAAGTTATTAAACAGTTCCATGACAATAATATTTTCAAACAAACAAAATAGTTCACCATTCAGAAATCTTTGCTTAGCAGTCCCCAAACTTTTTGGTATGAGGGACCAGTTTCATGGAAGACAGTTTTTCCGCAAATTGAGGGAAGATGTTCGGAATGAAACTGTTCTACCTCAGATCATCTGGCACTAGATTCTTAAGGAGCATGAAATTTAGATCCCTTGCATGCGCAGTTCACAATAGGGTTCACATTCCCATGAGAATCTAATGCCACCTGACAGGAGGCAGAGCTGAGGTGATCATGCTTGCCTGCCCTCTGCTCACCTGCCGTGTGCCCATGCCCAGTTCATAACAGGTCACTGACCAGTTGGCTGCTTGGGGACTGGGGACCCCTGCCTTTGCTGAAAGGAAACCGAACTCAAGAGGAAGTCAAGTTGAATGCAAGCAGCAACAAAGTAAAGAAATCGGTAAACATGTTAGTAGACCTAGATAAACACTGCCTGTGAAAGGAAAAATACATACTTTTTGGTGAGAGGAGTGACTTATCTTGAATTTCAGAATAATTTAGCCTCTTTCTCACTTTTCTTGGGAGCCTACACATATTCTTTTCTCTTGTCCTTTGATATGAGTTTATAGGAGAAGACCCCAATGAAACATTAGTATCACTGTGACTAGATAAGTCTACTTAATTCTGGGGTGCAATAATTAACAAACCCATCAACACCTAAGACATTTCTCTAATGTTAATGTTAGGTACACAGCTAAGGCTAGTCCTCAGAGAAGCAGCCTGCCTACAAAATCACACCTATAGGCAAAAATAGAGCAGCCTAGGGAAAACTCAGGCTGCACCTGCACAGATAAGCAGGCAGGGTCCAGCACAGAAGCCTTTTGTTCTTTGTGTGATTGGCAGGCTCCCAGGAAAAAGTGTCCTCACCTTTTCGGGCATGTACACGGTGGGCTCCATGGGAACTTGCGCAGGGAGAAGGAGGGCTTACCTAAATTAAGCCCAGTTATAGAAACAAGAGAAGTGGCACTTTGTGCGTGCCTAGAGACATACCCACAACTACATAAGGGGAGTTGCACAGACAGCTTTACTAATAAGAGAAATTACTCAAATAGCTACAGAGATGAGAGGAGTTTCTTATAAAAGCTTTTGAATTCAACTGTAAAAACAGCAACCCACTAGGGCTCCCCTCTCCACTGTGCAGAGCTTTCTTCTTTTGCATATTAAACTTTCGCTCCCATCTCACCCTTTGCATCCACGCTCCTTCGTTCGTGAGACAACGAACTGGGATAACACCTTAGACAACAAGACCAGTGACCATTGACCTGTTTCATTTTTATCCCCGTTGCCTACTCTCCAACTTCAATTCTTTGAAAATTCAGGTAGGAGTATAGCTAAAATGGTATGTAGAAGTAAATTTACGGATTCAAGTGTATATATTAGAAAACAAGAAACTGAAAATTAATGAACTAGAAAAAGAATAAACAAAAATAGAGAGTGAAACAGCAAATGGAACAGAAAACAAAGACAATTAAGGCGGGTAGGAAAACCAAAAGCTGGTTCTTTTAACAAACCATACTGACAGGAACCAAGAAAAGGAAGAGATTAAAATAGACAATATTAAGAATGAAAAAGATGTACATATAACTACTGAAGAAATTTTTTAAGTGAATAATCAACTTTGTGCCAACAAACTTGATAACCTAGACGAAATGGTAAATTTGTAATAAAAATATAAATAACCAATAATGATTCAAGAATAATAGAAAACATAGACCATAACCACTAAAGAAATTTAATCATTCATCATAAACCTCATTAACACTAGGCTAAGATGGTTTACAGGCTTTTTGTTTGTTTGTTTGTTTGTTTTTTGTAGCACAGGCTGGAGTGCAATGGCGCAATCTCAGCTCACCAC